TATCGTCGTTATGGTCATCAAGGTCAGAAACAGATTTAAAGAAGTTATTTAGAATATTGGATTTGTCATAGTCGTCTGTGGTTAAGCGGTTATTTGTAGGGTTAAGTAAGGGAGGTATATCGGTAGAAATGTTACCTTTTAAAAGCATACGCATTAGTTTCCAGTATGCTTTAGGATTAGCTGAACTATCATTGATAAGTCCATCTACATTTGTATAAAAAAGTGCTCTTGCATGTTTCAGCATATTATTTACTTTATTTCGTGCACGTTTAAATTTAGCTTCAGACAATGGGGTTTTAACTCTGATAAAATGTTTCCTTAACCTGTTTCTACGTTTAATTTCTTTTCTTATATCTCCGTTCATCCATGGTTTGTCGTTTTTATTAACAGTAACAATTTTTTTAGGAATATGCTTTTCTAAAATAGAAATTATTTTGTCAGTGAACAGTTTACATTTTTCGCTTACATTATCCGCATGAGAAAACAAATCTATCCAATTTACCTGTCCTACCTCTGTTTTAAGATTTAAGATATCTGCTCTGTTGTATAACCATATTTTCCTCTTAAAAGACTTTGGTTTTGGTAGACATGACGACAATGACACAATTATAGCTCTGTGGTCACTTATAGCTTCTAAAACTGGTACAACAATGGATGATTCGGAGGATATAGTATCACTGATGTAAAACGGGTCTATAAGGGATTGTGTAGTATTTGTAACTCTAGTTGGACTGGTAATCAGGTTAGTTAGATTATATTGCTGTGTTAGAATGCTAAGATCATTGTTATTTCCTGTTAATAAGTCAATGTTAGTATCCCCTGTTAATATAACATGAGGAGTGTAGTCGAAAGCTATGTCAAAAGAATGTTTCAGTCGAGTCCAAATTCCAGGGTAAGTATTTTGCCATGGAGGTTTGTATAGTACACATAGAAGATATTTCTTATTATCAGTACAAAATTCAATCCAATTTATTTCATTCGGTGATTCAATATCAAGTCTGCGTTTAGGAAGTATGTCTTTAGTTGCAAAAATCATAACACCGCCACCAAAAGCGTTCCTGTCTTTTCTAAATATTGTTGAGAAATTAGTAAGAAGAAGGTCAGAATCAGGGATAGAAGGATCGAGATGTGTTTCTGTTAGGCACAATATGTCTACGTCATCGGTAAAACTCTCAAGAAAAACAATTTTATTTCTAACGCTACGAATATTCAAGTGCATGATTTTTAATGAGTTATCGTCAGAAACAGAAAAGGAGATATTGTCGGAGTCGGAGTCGTGAAATGAAGAAAAACTGTCTGCTGGTCCTGGATTTGTGTGTATGTCCCCTGACAAAAGTAAGATTAAGATCAAGACAAGGGCGATGTTGTTTGGGTTGCTATATGTCTGTAGAAAAACAAGAAAAACAACTGATATAGGCAAATATATAAAATGTAGCTTAAAAATATCGTAATAGGAATAAGTGTTGTTGTTGAATCTGTACGTATTGTTTAAATGGGTTTGTTTAGAGTAGTATAGTCCGATAGTACATCTCCATGTGGATAATGAGCACCCTGTCATGGTGGATAGAAAAAGTACGAAGTAGGGACATGGAGACTACTAACGGATAGTTCTGTTATTGTTACATGTACGACTGTCAGATAACCAGGACAACTAAGAGGTAAGAGCGAGGGGGACAAAGAGTGGGGAATAAAAGACAAGAGGTAGGGAAAAATATAAACACATTTGACACAGTTACACAACATCGAAAAAACAATAATGCCATTGTAGTAATGTGTTTGCGGGTGATCATTAGAAATATGATGCTGGAAAAATTACTAGTCGTATCACATGTTATGGACAACCTGTGTTGTCAGACAGATGACGTTAATTTTAACATGAGTATAAACACATATGGGCATATATATTGAAACAAAAATGATGAAAAAAAAAATGAAAAAAAAATGAAAATAAAGAAATATGTACAGCAATGAAATCATGGATGAGCATCAACTCAAACTATCATACGTGAAAGCCGACACGAATGTAGATACAAAAATGTAACATGAGTTACCACATGTATGTAAAAGCGTTTATATACACGAATGAACACAATTGCATGTACATGTATTATGACAGAAAACGAAAGCATGTGTAAAAATAAATACAAATGTGAAGGGGCATTAATGGACACGAATGTAAATCGGATAAGATTTGATGTTAGCCCGAACATAGACACGAAGGAGCCGTCAGAGAATTTGCACGCGTACGTATTCATGAGTTCTTGAAAGGTCCGAGTTTAAAAGATATAAGATAGATTATAAGTATATATACGCAACAGCAACAGAAAATATATATAAACCCGTATGCACACGAATGTATATGCATACATTTTTATGAACATACACACACATCCTAGTACTTTAATACACATACTAATACAAATATATAATATACATGTAGATATCAACACACACACACACACACACACACACTCACACACACACACACATTCCATGACATGCATGTGTATATACATATTAGTGTAATTTATAAGCGTGTACACATGAGGTTTTATGTTCGGGAAGAATAAAAACAAATACAAACAGACAAACGAAAACACATCAGCGCCTAGCCTAATAACATCGTTAGAGAGAGAAAAAGAAACATCTGGCATTGTAACGAAGACCGACAAAAAACGTTTTTGCACCAACGCCAACACCAAAAATTACAGCTGTCCAATACCAAAATAATATAATTTGGATTGCGGAAATGCAGCTTGATATGGAACTGATATTGAAAGCGCCGGTGTGTTAATCTAACATTCCCAAAGTGGAGATGGGTTTGCTCATATACATGTGTAAAATGTCAAACAAAGCAGGTACTAAATAATCAAGCAGGCTTGGACACATTCGAATCATGATTAGAGGTCAGGGCAGTTTTCAAACAAGTTTAAATAAGAAAATACATAAATTGTTTTTAGACATATATCTTATAGGTGGGTTCAGAAAATCCAACCTAGATATAATGGTGCGTACATGTGGGACAGAATGCGTTCATATATTGGTTGATACAGTATGCGCGATGTGTCGAACTATATGGGCTGACGTATAAATGTACGCGTGAACGCGTGTGTTACCGAAGAACCGTTAGCATGTCTTCAACGACGTTCGAGAGTTGTATAATTAACCGTTAAGCACCGGTGTACCCCTTGATGTTTTTGGATTTGCCCAGTTCTGAAGCGATGGGACATCTAATTATTTATATTCATAGGCTATATAGCCAGGAATTTAAGTATATCCAAACAAACAAGCAATAAAATAAATAAAACAGGCCGACCGCTAAAACAAAACAAAAACATGCATTTACATCAATTATCTAAATACGGCAGAAACCGTCCTCGATATCCAGGGGTTACGCCCACCTTCGCTCTCTACGCAGCGAAATTGAGCGTAACCCCTGAACATCGAGGATCAGCGGAAGCATACCGGCAGGTCTTCTGACATTCGGGCGGTTTGTATACGACAGTCCATAGTACGTGTTTATGGAGTAGTAGTCTTGAGTATATGATAGTAGATAAAACACACCAGCACCATATCAGCGCAAGTTTTACAGGTGCAGCTTGATATGAACGATTTTTAAGCGCTGGTGTGTATTCACAACAATCAAAATGACTGACTCTGACTTTTTTAATCTACAAAAAATCTTGGTATTATACACAATTCCGGTCCTTCACGTAACCATCATTGGAACTGGTTACGGGTCATAGGAATCCTAGGAAGCTGAGGAGGTCGATACCATGGGGGATGATGTGCTTTCAACAGAACGTGGACGTAACCCCTGGATATCGAGGATGATTCCAGGAGTGCATAGAGCGAAAGTGAGCGTAACCCCTGGATATCGAGGATGATCTTACCACGGGTTGAAATTTAGGCTGACTATTACATCTTTCAGGAGGCTTGTTGAATCCTAAACGATTATCTGAGGACAACACGATATAATGTTCCGTCGGACTAAAATTTTCAAGAAGATTTTTTTTAATTCTTTCCTTTTTTTATGATTGATACGGAAGTCAATATTAATCATCAAAAGAAGAAATCAATAAAAACATATGATTGAAATTTTTTTTGATATTTTTTTTTGGTGTATGCTTGAGCATACATGTATGCTACGCCACCGTCTCCTGTTACATTAGTAAGATAGGATAAGATAAGATAATATAATATAAGATAATATAAGATAAGATAAGATAAGATACATTTTAAAGTCGGTGAGTATTTTTGTTGTATAAGGTGTGTTTTCTGTGTATGGCTTTCCTTAGGTTTTGATTCATGCAGAGGACATTTTTCTTGCGATTTTGTTGTGTAAAATATTTAATATATTAGACGATATTAGTATACATAATTAAATCGGCTAACGTCCTCTTAAACATTACATACCGTACTATACCGTAACACATATAGTCATTATGATACTAATTAAACTATGGTCCATACTACATTGCATAGGGATACATGTCTATTCCATTTAATGCTTACTATCATCAGCTATAGGTGGTTACCTTATTTTATTCAATGGATTAAAATGTGTACAGTATATCTAGGTAGCACCTATTTCATATTATAAAACCCGTATATATATATATACCGTTCTGGGTGCTCCGATTTCTTTACCACACTGACAACATCTGCATCGGTCTAACGGTCTTGCAGAAGATGAAAGTAACGCACGGAATTAGATTGCTATCTTTAAGCCCGTGGTTAACGTTATTTGCCCAATCAGTGTTTATAGTTTAAATCTTCATCTAAAGGTCGCGATCGTAAGCAGATTTTTGTGCCTGTGAAACTATGCTGATAATAACACATTTCAGAAATCAGCGGGAGTAAATATATATGAGCGAACTGGGAAACGATGAGCGTAAAGCGGTATGCTATAGCGTTATCGATCCGTTTTGTTACGGCGCCGTTTATTGAAACGGGCTATAGACAGCTGCTGCGGCTGACCATCCGGGATCTTTGCATTGCTCAAAGACTTCCGGTTTACCGAGAATGGAGAAAATGAAGATTCTGAAGGAACTCGGAGGGAAAGGATGAGGCTCATTGATGAACAGGTACATTTGTATTCTAAAATAAAGCTGCACACCCCCTTTAACTGTATGCTGTTACTGTACTATTGATATTTACAGTTGCTTATAATGGTTCTTATTGTATAAGTGTGACTTTTTAAATTTACTAGGCATGTACGCCGACCTGTTGCACTGATCACAGGGGTTCGTTACAAAATGTCTAAACTACACATATGCTATACCGATAAGGCTCACACCTGTGACTCATAGCGGTATAGCATATTTGTATTTTAGGTGTTACGAAAAGCTGTATATATAGCATATGTGCTTTTTAGACCCATCCGGTCATGATCACAGGGATCTGAGAATTTGTTACAGCTATATTTGGCCCTAGTTTAGGTCCAAATATAGCTCTAACAAATTCTCAGGTCCCTGTGGACTGGTCATGATCATTTCGACGTGAATCCCGTTCTCACTACGGGTCGTTAAATCGAGTTCGCCCAAGATTTTTTCGCCCTTCTGTAATATACAGATAGTAATAAATGTTTCATGTTTTACGATCAATTGTGTTGGTATAGAAGAATTTCGTGCAGGTGAATGCTATACAACACCACGTGCACAGACTAAGATAGCAATCTAATTCTATGACACGACTAAACAGCAAATATGACATTTATAAGACAAAACAACTTAGTGCAAAATGCTTGGGGCAAATGGGATTTGACAGTTTTAACGAATCCCTGCGCACAGATCATCCAATCGTCTGGTGGGAGTAATATGTTCCGCTTCTATGACGATCAGATGTGGTGGTGTAATTTCAATATGAAAAAGCTAAGAAAATAGAACGGTTTAAATTGTTACTGAAAACATATCATGTAAATGCAAACAGTTTGATTGAGATATATATTAGTTCAAATTGTTTTTTTGTAGAATAAGTTTGTGAAACTATACTAACGTAGCGAAGACACAACTAATTACAACCCAGGTTCGGGTATTCCTTTTAGTTTAAAGATATTTTATTGACATATAATATGACAATAGGATTCCTTTGTTAAGCATTCACCTATACTTAAAACAAGGGTTGGTCACAGGCACCAAATTTAGTTAGAGCAGAAAATTAAAATGTATAGCCAGACCGTGGTTCAAACATAAGATCTTCCAAACTCTAGACAGACGCTCTACCAATTGAGCTATCTGGTCGTCGATGATCGACCCAGTCCACTTCTGCTACATTTATGATAAAACTCAATAGAAACAAGAAAAAGTGTACAATAAAACTGGACTCCAACAGAATAATTCTGTGTATTCTGTATATATATATAGATGTCTTGTTTAATAAAGCGTGGGTGAGGACATGAATCTTACAGATGAAACCATTTGTTTGTAATTGATGTTAGCAGATGGTGAGACTTCCTTTATCATCATTCTTGGACTAAACATATTAGTGTGGTTGTATAGCCCTTCATTTATAATAATTATATAATATACACTTTTCTTTGCTGAGAGTGTGTGTGTGTTGTGTGTGTGTTGAGTCGGGCACTCAACACACACACAACACAACCAAGAGCTAATTATGCATGAGTATTTGTTGTGTTCACAGATAATGCAGCCACATGCATGGTGACACACAGGCTATTTTAAAGTGCCATCTATTCTGGCTGCATTGCCACAGGACACTTAGCGATAACCCACTTCTTGCTTAAAATTAAAGCAATTAGCTGCAATAATGTAGCTCCTGATGATTGGATGATTTTAATATATTAATGTTGGTACTAAAACAACATACTGATTATACTAGAACACAGGGACCTGGGGATCAATCACAGAATACTTATTAGGACCTTACCTGGTGAAGTTTAAGCAGATTAGCGTCAAGGAAAACTACTGTATACCAGCTGGGAACTTTCACCAAGTCAAATCTTCGCCCTATATTGGTAAAGTCCATGTTTGCCCAGTGTTAATTTTGCCCTTGAAATTTAATAAATATATAGGTATGCTGATTACTTATGTTTACTGTTATTATGATAAATTTGCCGTTTGTGCGAACGACGAAAAAGGCCAAAAGAATAAAACTGGGACGAAGGTTTCCACGTATATTATCTACATTTCATGATGGATTGATACACCATAGCCATCATTTTGATATATGAAGTTGTACATTTAAGTATATACAATGTACAATATTTGATCTAATGAAGGGGGTCTGCTCTCATAGAAGGATTGAGATCTTCAAGAAGTTACCAAAGTGCTGGGTTTTTTTAATACTTGACACGATTATCTACTATTTTCTTTTTTACAGGCTGTTCATGAGAATGAAGAAACTCATCAATGGAAATGCTGAGGATTGACAAACCTTAATTTTAACGTATTTTGGTAAATCCTTATGAACAAGATATTGACAATAATGGGCAAAATTAAAAGAGAACCAAATGAAATGGTTGAGTATTGAATTGCATAATGATTTATAACATAAGATGTAGTCGGGGGTAGATCCCATTGGCTTATGACAACCATTTAAATGTTTTCCCGTAGTTGTCTCCCCTGCTTTAAACTTGGTCTCCAGCGTCCACTCCGACAAAGAAAGATGCTGGTCAATAGGAAGACAAGTTTCAAGGATAGCCACCCACTGGCTGACTACGGGCCGGACGAGAATCTCAATGACAACATCGATATTGATTGGGTCAACAAAACCTGGGTGCGACGGTTGCTACGTTTGTGTGCCCTCATCAGTATAATGTCCGTCAGTATGAATACTCCCAAGACTTTTGCGTACTATAAGGAGCTGGAATACTTCACCTTTGCTTTCGACCTTATTGTGACCTTCCTGTTCACCGCTGAGATGATAGCAAAGATGCATATCAGAGGAATATTAAAGGTAGCTGTTGTATGTTATTAAAACGTCATATCATAACTTGTGCCAGAACATCACCAGAGTGTTTTATCTGTGGAACACTTCTGGCGATATTCCGGTGACATTCTGGCAATATGAAATGTGTCCTAAAAATCACCAGAATGTCACTGCTAGTGGCGATATTCTGTGCACTTCTAGCAACATGTTCTGGCAAACTGATTAGTCCGCCACGATATCGCCGCGATATCACTTTAAACTTTCTATTTCTGTAACTACATGTACAAATACTTTTTCTTTTGTTTTCTGTAATTTTCAAATCCAAAATGGAAAACATGGATCAGGGATAGCTTGTTTGAATCACTTGTTACTGACCAGGTTATAGAAGAAAAGTATTAGCCTAGTCACTGTTATGGAAACCCAACAACACATTTATCCCATGGACATACTGGTCAGGGTCATGAAATTTTTATCTCATTCATGAAATAAATATGTTTTTATTCATTGATAGTTTTATTTAGTTTGAAATACAAAAATGACAATCCCAAAAAGCTTTAATAATGTGATGGATACAATAATTATGTTTATGTGTATGTTTATTTTCAGGGTGAGGCTCCGTACCTGAAGGATAGATGGTGTCAGTTTGACGGCTTCATGGTTCTTTGTCTCTGGATCTCCGTGATATTACAGGTAAGTTTTCAGGTCTTGCTCAATTCCGTTACAGTGATTGAATGTATAGCTAAACAGCTGTGTTTGTCCGGGATCTCTAGTTTATAGTTTATTGTCTGTTTCAGGGGACATTTGTATCGGTATATAGGGATAGTACATGAACAAGTGCATAACCCATCAAATTTGTAAATTATGTAACTTATTATACATTGACATTAATTCTGTAGGTATTTGAGATGATAAAAGTGTTTGACAATATACATTTATTACTAGTATGCTTCTTTTTTCCTTTTGTAGGTGTTTGAGATGACGGGAGTTGTTGGACAATTTTGGTCTATTCTCCGATGTCCTCGTCCTTTAATTTTGATCCGTGTTTTCAGAGTTTTTCTCAAGTTTCAACTGCCAAAGGCTAGAATAAATTCCATATTCAAGTAAGTGGAGAATATTTCCTAAGAAAAACAAATAGTCATTTATAAATTGAATTTGTGTTGCTTATCAGCTCAGTAATTATATAAGAAAATAATACACAAATAGAAACATTTAACCTAACCACATGATAATAAAAATTAGGAAAACATTTCAAAACAATATGTTGTGATGTGTATTGTGATTCACAAGTGTGACTGTTCCATCAGCATTTTTAGCTAAGGCGTTAGCCGCCAGCTATTGGTATTACTTTAGTTAATGAGCTCAAGATATTCATAAATGTCGTTTTCACACAGACGGCCTCTAGCGGTGCCCACTGGTACTAAATTGAATCATATACCGGACCTACTGTCTTTATTATGCGTAACTTTGGACTCAAATGCACTTGAATGGCTTGTAAATATCATTCCTTTTCTTTGTAGAACATATGATCTTATCACAACGTCGTATTCTTATTGAAAATGCACCCTGTTTATCTCAATCGGGAACTGCTACTTGACTGTAGGTCATGCATGCTACACGCAACTTCCGGTAAAAATACTTTAGTTAATGAGCTCAGATATTCATAAACGAGACATAACGTCACCTTCTAGTAATACTAAACAAACTGCAAATAAAATCCATTACCACGGACTCAAGTTCACTCAAACGTCATTGGATATAATCTTATTCTTAGTTAGAACTAAGTATCCTTCTAAAACTTCGTATTTACTCTTGGAACTGTCGCTGGATTAACCCTTTACACGGAAATATTGTCCTGTGATTGGCTAAAATTGGTGACATTTACGTCCCTGTTTACATTTATATATTGCGTGGTCAGAGCTATGAAGCAGTCCTGTTCCAACTAACTGAGGAAAATCAAAAGTGCTAATCAGTAATAATATATATGATTCACGCTTCATATGATTATAATGTTATCAAAATATTGCATATTCGTTCATCATTGAAATAACAAATCCTTACTAAAAACTCTAAAAACAGAAACGACGGCCATGTTAGATCACGCGTGATGTTATCTGTTTCCTTATATGGCCTTCACGGCCAAATATAGTATTACTACTGATGCGGTCATGTTTACTACAATTTCCATATTTGGTCATGACACCCATATTTAGACGTAAGACCTATATCGGAAAGATAGACTAAGTTTCCAACATGGCAGTCAATTAAGATTTCGCTTGCACTTGTTACGTAAACTTGATAAACGTATAAGGCAGAGTATAACTTACAATGATGTAGGAGATCAACATAAACAGTTCATATTACAAACCTATTAATGGATACAGATCCTGTCAATTGATTCTAAAATCGCCTCCGTGTGATTCACACCAGGCTTGCTTAACTAAAATGGGATCGTCCGGCCGGGGCAGATGAGACCGGGAATCATATTAGTACTAGCCACTATCCTTCTCTAGTTCCATATTGGTATTCTAACCTGAAGGCTTTTTTTTACCTTTGCAGTATTATCATTTTGTTCTATTTTCATCGTAAGATATGCTATTGCATTTTTATATCGCCTTCTCGCTAATTACAGCTCAGCCAGAAACAAAAAATATGCGCCGATAGGCCTACATTTTATATGTCTGTTGGTGTGATTTGTGTATTTCATTTATTGAAGTGTTACCATATAACAGGACTCTTTTATTCCAATATACACAAAAACAACAACACCTTCGGAATGATTTCAGACATATACTACGGGAAAACACGAGTGATCTCCCTTACATTTAGATATGCGCACATTTTACTTTCGTTTTGTGTAGGCCTAGACATCATTCGCAACGCGAAGCGGAAAAGACGAAAATGCAGGCGAGTGTTGACTTAATGTTAGGCATGTTGTTTAAGCAGCATTGACAATGAACAATATACATACACTTCTGCAACGTTTACCTACTACTGATTCATAAATAAGGCTATGTATCCCGATTTCGGTGACTTGTGGCCAAGCATGCGGCCGAAGCCGCAGAGAATGGCGCATGTTGTCAGCGGCGATGACAAAAAGGAAGGTGCTTCTACGGTATGTATAGCAGTTATTATGCAAAAACAAACATAATAAACGGACGTTTTACTCTAGTGAATTACAGCGTCACGAGGAACGTCTTTCTCCAGACGTGTTGCAAAATTTTCGAACTGCTTAGTTGCAAACTGATTTCACTTAAGCGTTGTTTGTGAGGATATTTGGCCTTACATTTCTTCTCATTCAGTTAAAAAAAAACATGTTATAAACATTGTATTATTAGATTCATTGTGATGTTGGCTTTCATTGAAGTTTCAATTGTTATACTACTTGATGTTTTGGAAACTTAAACAAGTATAGTAGTTCTAAATATTATGAAATGACAGAAACATTAGGCCAAACAAATTACTTGTGTTTCTACTATCAGAAAAAAATAGGGTAGGTATGTATTAGCTAGGCATTTTATTGTTAATTTGAAAAATATCTTTACTGCGCTAATATAGAGCAGGAGTTCTGACTTTAACAGTGCATATAAAAACTTAAGGGTATTGTAGAACACAAATCTGAGATAAGTCTGGTTAACCACACTGGTGTCGAACACACCAATAAGTATAGTGTGTATAATATATCATAGTTTATACACATCATATTACTATTAGTGTGTCCAGTATCTGTGGGGTTAGCATAAACTCAATATTTGTTTTAAACTTTTAATTGGCCTTATATAATGATCATTTATAGGTCAGACAGGGTTTGGTTTCCAATTCGGAAACTAGACCTGTTAAAACAGTTATCATTTGTAATTTAGAGATTAAATATTTCTAAGCAGAAAAAAATGAACTATAAATATTTTTCAACCTTTTCTGAGTTGTACAATTTTAGAGTATCTTCTGTCTGAAATCTGAACATAACTTGTTTTATGATAAATGTGTAAAACAATTCCTCATACTGGGGTAAAGTTTTTCTATATATAGTCCCAAAAACTACAGATAAAATCCTTGAGCACGTACAAGATACAAAAATATATATTTTACGTCCATTTTGCAAAACATACAACATAAGCTACAAAGACAAAACATGAGTATAATAACAGAGACCAAAATATTACAACATGGAAAAATAAAATAAAAACATGTATGTACATGTACTATACTGTAAACACAGAAAAAGAGTTTATCACTTGGAAAGCACTTAATAGGCACATTGCACACGGTAAGCACATCAGCACATGGTAGTTTAAGCACATTTAGAACATTTGCATACAGCGCATTAAAAACAAAACCATAACATGGAAAGCTTATTAGCACATAGTAGGCACATTTGCAGTGATGTTCTGCTTCATCTTTTGTATTAATGAAAACCGTGAATATCTAAGTGCGTGTGTTTAAACCAATTTTGTTTTGTTTTTACTGGTACCTTTTTAAGTACACATGTTTTACCACCTTAGGAATTAGATGTCTTAAGCCCCTGTGAGATGTGCTGTTATCAGTTGAATTTAATGTACATTTTGTTTATATTTAGTTCTGCTACCAAAGAGATTGACTTATTGAAATGTTTATGAAACATTTTAGTGAACTCCTCAGCTTTAATGCCTTATTTCTCACTATACAAGCTCATATTGCTATGCCTCCTATTTGTTTGAATATCATCTCTAAACATTATTGCTGGTGCAGAAATTATATGGTAACCGTTCTATTTTAGGGGGGAAAAGCAATCAATATTACAACAGACAGGGATGGTTTTTGATGGGAGAAAGGAGGATGAGAAATAGGAACTGTCCCAGCTCTCTCATACCTTTGAGGACTTCATGAACTTTTTCAAAAGGCTGCAAGAACTATACCAACAGTGACATGACATTTTGAAGTCTGTCAGTTACTTTATAGAGGAGGAACCTCTGACTAAATCATTTTCTCTCAGACACATGAAAGCCGAGTCCACAGATCCTTCCATCAGCGAATAGTTCAAATGTAGTTCAAATGCTTTCCTCGCAAACTTTTCCTTAATGGAGAAGTCAGTGATCTTTACTTGGAACAGATTGAATCTGTGAATATTGATGCTGAAAGCCTGATGAATGTGATTGAACAGCCCCTACTTGATGCTGAAACCCTGATGAATGTGATTGAACACCCACTACTGACTAAGGGCACAAATGTTGGAAACAACGTTTGTTTTGATCAATATAACACTATGGGTGGTGGGAGCAAATTGGAAAAAAAATTAAAAGTATGTTTTTAAAGATAGAAATACTGGTCATGGCTTCCTTTTAGTTTTTGTCCAATGAATTAAAAGTCAACGCAAATGTTAAGTAGTAAAAGAAATGTAAGATCCCTGGTATACATTGTACTTTTAACAATGCTTATGATCAATATCAATAAAATAAAATAAAAGTTATAATATGTAACTTGATATTTGTTAACTTCGCTCGATTTTACTGTGTCCAACATTTGATATTAAATCTTGTGTGATATATGAGAGGGATAGCACACAAGATTGTATCAATGTCAATGAAAGCAATTATTTCTTAAGTTTTCAACCATATTTCTTGAAACTTCATTTCTAAATTTCATACATCAATTGTTCAAGACAGTTTTAAGGTCAATTTCATTCAGTCAAGGTGAAGGCTACAGCTTCACAACCTGTTCATGTACATGTGACAGAGAAATTGTCAGTGCATTCCTAACTAAGTATTCAAACCAAATTTTATAAACCTTGATCCATCATTCTCAACATTAAATCATGCACTACCTGTTTGCATATACACAAGCAACCTCAACTTTCAATAAGTCCTGTTGTCAACATTTGTTGCACAATGCTATCAGTTCTGAAACCAACAATCATGACAACTGTAATAACATAGTATGTGTTCTAGCTGGTACATTTGCAGTACTCTTTTGAAATGTATTTGAAATTAATATGTGCATCTTATTTCAAATGCTAGCCTATGAAGATGATAAAGCTGAACATATGCTATAAAGTTGTTGTTTTCTTTGTGAAGAATTTATGCAATGGAAATAGAGGGAAAATAATGTAACTCTCCTAATCTTGTGTGTGTGTGTGAGTATGTATGTTTATATTTTGTTTATCTTATTCAATATTGAAACATACAACAATGTATCATATTGAATTAGAGTGCTTTTTATATTATTTGTTCATGGGAACACAGATTCAAAATAGTTCCATTTTTCATAAGAAGAGACCTTTTCACTGCAGTGAATATGTAAAACACTTTATTTAAAAGTTTTTCAAAATTATTGAGAGACTTGTAAATTTATGGGTAGCAGTAATCCACTTGCTTATCCACAATTTAGTTTCGGCAAGTAAACATCCTTATAAATATTGTTCTGTAACAATATACACTGACTGATGCAAAATTGAAACTTGAACAAAATTCACACGTATTAAAAAGCATGCCAACCCTGGTCGATGTGCACACTTTACAAGATAACTTGCTTGAATATATATTGATCAATATACAAACTTAGACGATAAGTTCTAAGTTGTGAAATCCATGCCTAATTAATTAGCATACTGTACTCTGATTGGTCAATGGTTTATGCCAAGTAACTTTGTCAGATAAGGCAAGGGTTGATATCTTATTCAACAACAAAGGCAAAGTTCAAAGATGTTCACAATCTGTGCATAATCTATTTAATGGTTTAAAATAATCAGGTGTTGGTCAAAGGGGTAAATGCCAGTTTCAGTTTTTAATGTTCTATGAAATACATTGTATGGACAAAGGGAAGCAATTCCTAATTTCTATGCAAATTAATTATCTAAAGGATTAAAATGATATTTTCTAGAGAAAACTTGGTACCCCTCTTCTGACAAACCTATAAAGATATACTGTACACACAAGAAGAATAACTTCACAGTGGTACACTTTTACATAAAACTTTGATTCATAACAAATTAACAGTAAATCCTCCTGTACAATATGATGGGAACTTCGTCTTTATTTTGTTCTCCATTCCAAAAATAGTATATATATATCTTTTGCCTTAGCTTTCAGTACTTTCAGTACTTTGATTTTTTTATGATAACTAAAACTTTATCAGATTCTTAGTCTTACTGTAAAGTACATACAATTTTGTACTATAGACATTATACAATTTTGTATAGATATTATACATAAGCAATATAGACCGAAATTGCAGCATCAGCTGTATGCTCCCCAGGGAGTATAGAAAAATATTGGCTGGTTGCAAAGGCCCTATAACCATGGAGAAAAATTTGTGAACCGCTTTGAGACGACCTACAAACAAGGTTGTGATAAAGCGATATATAAGAACCTCAAATTAATATTGTTATATTAGTATTATCTGCAAATTCAATGATGTCAGAAGTATTTATAGAATACAAATTTGTAAAACACAAATGTGTGAAATCAAAGCTTATAGCTTATATAGCTTATATTCCGTCAAATTATAACTTCTATAGCAAGTTTTCTGGTTTTCATTTTCAGACGATCTGGCCAGCAGATTTACAATGTGACAATATTCTTCCTATTCTTCATGTCGCTGTACGGAATCCTTGGAGTACAGTTCTTTGGAGAACTTAAATATCACTGTGTTCTCAACACCTCAGATCCCAAGTAAGGACCATATACCTTAACTCATTTACCCCTGAAGACACATTTAAATTCTTCCAAGTCAAAGGTTGGAATAGTTCATTATGAAATTTCAGGGGTGAATGAGTTAAATATACCAATCTCCTCAGTTTAATATGGGTACAAAGTGATATGTTATCTAGGCTCCTATTTAGTATGAAGAGTAGTGGTGGCAAATGACAGTTTTGTCTCACACTTCTAAGTACACCTGTAGCCCAAGGCTATATTTGCGTATCCCGGTTGAAACGGTACGTGTGGTGTAGAAATATTCCAAGATAAACGAACGCACTTGGACCAGGCTATGAGCAGAGCTAAAAATGCAGTGTTTCGGAAAATAAAAAACAATGTATCAAGAATATTATGCGTCCACTGAATTACACAACGTATCTTAAAAACTACATTTGGCTTGACATTGTTTTAGAAAGAAAAAAATGCAAAGTAGCAATAGTCAGCGTTTTAGTTTTGGTCAGGAACGTCTGGACCCCTCAATCTACACGTGCCAAATTTTCCTGAGGTCAGCCTCGGTCAAGATTTGTGCCTGTCGTTTTCTTTACAGGTTCAACCGGTTCAACCAATTCAACCGGATACGCAAATGTACCCCAAGAGTATGTCTGTTAATTTTTTGTTTTGCACCATAACTTCCTTAAAATTTAGCAGCTGTATTGTGCTAAACTTTGCCCAGCATCATCAACATGTTGAGATTGTTTAGTATCTGATCTAAAATTCAGTTTACTTGCCATAATACTAATCAAGCAAACACATCTACAATACTACAGTACTAGCCAACAGGCAGATTTGAAAAAAAATCTACTGTTAACCAAATTAATAATTTGATACTTATTACTGAAAATGTTCATGTGTCTGCTTGTGAGATAAGGAATTTAAGCACAAAATGTTTCAAAATGTTGGTAAAACAGAAAACATACTCAGGGGTTAAATCTACGCTGAGAAAGTTTTGATTGTACATCTTACACAAACACTTGTACTTGTAAGTAAGAGTATGGCATCTTTTTTTTTCCATACAAATCCCATTAAAATTGAGGTGATTTTTATATGACAAGTTATAATAAACACTTTTTTCAGCAACGTCTCCATCATGGACCTTGCTATCCCGGACACATACTGCTCTCCCAAGCCTGAGTATGGCTACCAGTGCCCACCTAATATGACCTGTATGGAACTCCAGTTGGAACGGGGAGAGAGAGGCTTCAATGGTTTTGATGAGTTTGGTATGTGGTATTTTATGTCTGCAAAGAATATGGGAAAAAAGTGATTTGAAATTGGAGCATTTATATACCTAATATCCCTTAATATATATATACCTAATATATATACCTAATATACCTAATATAATATACCTGTAATATACCTAATATATATACCTGTAAAATACCTAATATATATACCTTTTATATAATAGCTATATTTTCAATTATAGTATTTCAGTTCTAACTTCTTGTAATATAATGTACATGTACTGTTCTGTTTCACTGTCATTTCTTATATCACTAATCAGGTGACCACTAGTCAGGTGAGTGCTTAGGCTTTTGGAATGCTTTTCTTTTCTGCAGCAATGAGTGTATTCATGATGTAGGTGGCCTGATTTAAGGAGGGATGTCTGCCAATATAAAGTAACTGGATATCTTTTTTCTTCTGCAGCAACAAGTTTTTTCACGGTGTATGAAGCAGGCTCCCAGGAGGGATGGGTTTTCCTGTTGTACCGTACCACTGACAGTCTACAATCCTGGCTGGCCTTTGTCTACTTCACAACACTTATATTCCTCATGGCTTGGCTTGTAAAGGTAGGGTACATGACATCCTCAATACTCTAGGGGTTACGCTCACATTTGGCCTCTGCACCCTTTGAATGTGCCATGGCAAAATTGAAGGCACACAGCTAGCTGTTTGATAGGACTCGGGTGAAAAAACATGACCAATCACGGGCTGATACCTAAAAGATTACAGAGGAGCAACACCAAACTTTAAAGCCAGTCGATTTTACTGTTATACAACCGACAGATTGTTTTGATGTACATCAAGGGATCAAACTAAACCTCTCGTCCCGTTCACAAGGTGTCGCAGACTAATCCTTCAATTTCGCTAAGAAATATTCAAGAATTACAGAGAGCGAAATTAGCGTTACCCCTGGAGTATTGAGGCTGGGTTTAGGGAGAGTAAGACTTCTCCTTGGATTCCACAGGTTTTGAATTTAACTGAGAAACAAACCTGGATATTTAACAATTGTGTGACACTTTTAAGTTAGTTTATAAATGTACTACACATTGCTTCAAAGTACAGTATTTAGGATTAAGAAAAAAGTAAGAAAGATGTTGATGACTAGTTTTTTTCCAAATTTTTCAAATGTCGAAATAATCATGAAGACTTTTAACCAAATAAAACATCATATGATTTACATTATTCACATTATGTAATTTTGTTTGTTTAAAAAGTACATATAGCAGTAATCAATTAGCTTGAATATCTTCAGTCTAATACATTTTATGTGTTTGTTTGGTTGCAGAACATTTTCATAGCTGTGATCATCGAGTCGTTTGCCGAGATTCGCGTGCAGTTCCAGCAGATGTGGGGGCCAAGAAAGAGTGCCCCAGACTCTGACTCCTCTCAGGTTAGTCTATGTAGGGAGGAACATACATAGTAAAAGGATGTATACAGTGGGTTTGCTTATTATGATATTCTATTTGTCAGATATTTTTTTTATAATACCTAGTATATTATAATAAACATGTGTTACAGGTGATCCAGACAGAGGGGAACACATGGAAGATGGTAATGATAGATGAGAACAAGGCCCAGGGAATGGCTCCCCCTGTGTTCCAAAGAATCATGTGTTCCAATGTGTTCCACACATTCTTCCTATTGTTGGTCCTTGCCAGTGCCATCACGGAAGCCAGCCTCTCCTTCGATCACAAGACTCGTTTACCTGAAAACAAGCTAGATGGATTCTACTATGCAGAGGTCAGGATCAGTTGTCTACAAAATTTGTTTGTAGCCCCTTTTTTGCTAGTCAGATAGCAGGTTATAGACCTACATTTATTTCATGAGATATTCATATTGGGTTTAACGCACTAGGATTCATCTGTCCAATACACATATTTGGATTTAAAAGTTCATTTGCCTGTGTTCACCATAATATTTGTGTATTTATTTATTTGAATGTTGATTTTCCTTTCAGGTAGTGTTCACCATAATGTTTGTGTTTTTTATGTTTTAATGTTGATTTTTAGCTCACCTGCCCGAAGGGCAAGTGAGCTTATGTCATGGTGCGGCGTCCGTCCAGCGTCGTCCATCAACTTTTCCTTTAAACGACTTCTTCTGCGGAACGGACAGGCGTAGAGCCATGCTATTTGACTGAAAGATGCCTGGGTAGGAGCCCAACAAAGTTTGCGAATGAAAATGACCTTGACCTACTTTCAAGGTCACAGGGGTCAAATATGTCAAACTCTTTAAATGACTTCTACTGAAGAACTAAAAGGTATATAACCTGTATATTTGGCTGGTGGCTTCCTGGGATAACGCCAGACAAAGTTTGAGAATGAAAATGACCTTGACCTGCTTAAGGTCACAGGGGTCAAATATGTCAAACTCTTTAAAATGACTTCTTCTGAGGAACTAAACGCTGTAGAACCTTCATATTTGCCTTGTGGCTTCCTGAAATAGAGCCCGACAAAGTTTGAGAATGAAAATGACTGACCTTCTTCAAGGTCACAGGTGTCAAATATGTCAAAAACATCAATCAACTTCTTCTGAAAAATTGAAAGGCATAAAATTATAATATTTGGCTAGTGGGTTCTTGAGATAGAGCTCACCAAGTTTGCAAATTAAAATGACCTCAACCTACTTTAAATGTCACAGAGGTCAACAACATTTCAAAGGATTTGTTCTGAAGAACCAAAAGGAATGGATTTATAAGATTTGGCTGGTAGCTTCATGGGATAGAGCTATAAAAGTTTGAGAAGGAAAATGAATTGACATACTTACAAGGTCACAGGGAAAAATATGTCAAACAACTTTTGAAGAAGAACGATGGCCAAAAAGCATAAAATCTAATAATATTTGACTGGTAGTTTCAACAGATGGAGCCGACAAACTTTGCGAGTGACAAATTTGTAATACGATATAATATTTAATGAGAATATTTGCTATGACTACTTAAATATTCAGGTGAGTGATACAGGCCCTCATGGGCCTCTTGTTTTTTTTCAGTTAATGTTCACCGTAATGTTTGTGAATTTAATTTGCTTTTCAAGGAAGTGTTCACCATGTCGTGTGTGAATTTAATTGTTAGCTAACCTGGTCCGAAGGACCAAGGTGAGCTTATGTCGTACCGTGGCATCTGTTGTATGTCCGTCCGTCGTCCGTGCGTCAACAATTTCTTCAAACCACTTGCTCTTCTTAACCACTGATTGGAATTTGACTAAATTTGACTGGAAGCATCCCTAGGTAGTGGGGATTCAAAATTGTACAAATGGTGCGGCTGACCACCCCTCCCCCAGGGGCCTGAGCGGTGGGGCCAACGGGGGTAATTTGGCTATAATTGCTATGAAAAACTTCTTCTGTAGAGCTTTGCAATGGATATTGATCATACTTGGTTGGAAGCATTCATGGGAGGCAGGGATTCAAAATTGTGCAAATGGTGGGGCTGACCCCTAGAGGTCTGATGGGCGGGGTCAAAAAGGGCTATTTTGCTACATTATTTTAGCGACTTCTCTGGATCCGGAACCAAAAGATGGATATCAATCATATTTGACTGGAAGCATACCTAGGAAGCGGGGATTCAAAATTATACAAATGGTGGGGCCAACCCCCAGGGGGTTGAGAGGCGGGGCCAAAAGGTGGCAGTTTGGCTTTATTGCTATAAACGACTTCTGTAGAACTACTATGCACTGGATATAAATCATATTTGGTCGGAAGCATTCATGGGAGGTGGGGATTCAAAATTGTACAAATAGTGGGGCTGATCCCCCTGCGAAGGGGTGGGGCCAAAAATAGTTTATTACTTGGAAATGGTTGAGATCCCCACCCTATAACCATATACAATTGCTGAGTATAAAGAAAAGAATGCACATATGCTTCCAGGATGGCCCTGGGGTCTGGCTCCGCCCTTGGAGAATTAACCCCTGGGTCATCACTTTTAAACGGTTGAGATCCCCACCCCAAAACTATATATATACAATTGTTGGGCATAAAGAGACAAATGCTGTCATGATATTAGAATTGACTCGGGATCTGCCCCACCCTTGCAAACCTAACCCCTGGGTCATAACTTTGAAAGGGTTGAGATCCCCACACCAAAACTATATAACAATGGTGGGCATAAAGAGATAAATGCTGTCATGATATTAGAATTGACCCTGGGGTCTGGCCACAACCCTAGGGACCTAGTTTCTTAGTCACAGATTGGAAACAGTTGAGATCCCCAACCCATAACCATACATAAACTTGCTTGGCATGAACAATCTAATACAGATATGCTACAAGGTTTGGCCTTATGCCATGGTCTGGCCCATTCCCTTGGATATTATACGGAGAATATTTTGCCATGTTTGCTTAGATATCCAGGTGAGCGATACAGGCCCTCTGGGCCTCTTGTTTGGATTTCACCATGTCGTGTGTGAATTTAATTGTTTGGATGTTGATTTACTTCACAGGTAGTGTTCACCATGTCGTGTGTGAATTTAATTGTTGGGGGCTCTCACTCTATGTTGAAACATATAGTTCAATTTTGGCATTTAATTCTTGGGGAATTCTACCCCCAATCTTATAATAATATTATACATGTAGTATTTTACGACAGTATGTTTCAGCTTCTCTCATATCGTTGAGGGTCTAGCTAACATATTCAGCTTCTCTCATATCGTTGAGGGTCTAGCCGTAGTCGTTGAATATTCCATTTCTCATGCAGCTTCTCCAGGGTCGCTCGCAGAGTCTAGTAGCTTCTCTGGAATCGTCCAGGGTCTAGTTGCTTCTCTGTATCTTTGGAGTCTTGCTCGATCATGTAGCTAGCTACTCTGGGACACCTCAGAGTCCAGATTCTTTAAATTTTAAATATCCTATTAGTAAGTTTAATCGTTTTGGTATAGAGTGAGTAGCCCCTGATACGCCAAACTTGTAGCTTGTATGTATTATAACTGTAGTAATAAACAGGTTAAACTGTTCTTGCGTGTTTAGTTGTATATAAAATGATAGTTTGATATTTTAATATTAAACTATAGTTTATATACAATGAGTTTGCCTTGCTGCCTATGTTTTCTGTTTTCTGTAATGTAGGTCGTATGTATTTATGTAGTTGCCAATTAGCATGTATGTTAATGAGAGTAGAGGGATGCTGCTGATTGACCAATCAGCGTCTGCCTGAGGGAATGCCCTGTTAGGGATTTGGAGCCCCCACAGCATAGTTTTCTGAATCATTGAAGGAGATTGTTGTGCATTCCCACCCGCCATCCCCTTCAGCACCTGTAATTGTACTGTTTATTCATGTAATATATATATATAATCTGTACTTTATATATGATTGTAATACCATATACGTATGCTATAACATTACTTTGGTGCTTTGGTTTTGCTATACCCTTAAACTGTCATATGAATGTCATCTCAGTTGGTCTCCTGATTTTGTTTTAATTGTTTGGGCTACTCACTCTTAATTTTAAAACATATAGTTTAATTTTGGCATTTAATTCTTGGGGAATTCTACCCCCAATCTTATAATAATATTATACATGTAGTATTTTACGACAGTATGTTTCAGCTTCTCTCATATCGTTGAGGGTCTAGCTAACATATTCAGCTTCTCTCATATCGTTGAGGGTCTAGCCGTAGTCGTTGAATATTCCATTTCTCATGCAGCTTCTCCAGGGTCGCTCGCAGAGTCTAGTAGCTTCTCTGGAATCGTCCAGGGTCTAGTTGCTTCTCTGTATCTTTGGAGTCTTGCTCGATCATGTAGCTAGCTACTCTGGGACACCTCAGAGTCCAGATTCTTTAAATTTTAAATATCCTATTAGTAAGTTTAATCGTTTTGGTATAGAGTGAGTAGCCCCTGATACGCCAAACTTGTAGCTTGTATGTATTATAACTGTAGTAATAAACAGGTTAAACTGTTCTTGCGTGTTTAGTTGTATATAAAATGATAGTTTGATATTTTAATATTAAACTATAGTTTATATACAATGAGTTTGCCTTGCTGCCTATGTTTTCTGTTTTCTGTAATGTAGGTCGTATGTATTTATGTAGTTGCCAATTAGCATGTATGTTAATGAGAGTAGAGGGATGCTGCTGATTGACCAATCAGCGTCTGCCTGAGGGAATGCCCTGTTAGGGATTTGGAGCCCCCACAGCATAGTTTTCTGAATCATTGAAGGAGATTGTTGTGCATTCCCACCCGCCATCCCCTTCAGCACCTGTAATTGTACTGTTTATTCATGTAATATATATATATAATCTGTACTTTATATATGATTGTAATACCATATACGTATGCTATAACATTACTTTGGTGCTTTGGTTTTGCTATACCCTTAAACTGTCATATGAATGTCATCTCAGTTGGTCTCCTGATTTTGTTTTAATTGTTTGGGCTACTCACTCTTAATTTTAAAACATATAGTTTAATTTTGGCATTTAATTCTTGGGGAATTCTACCCCCAATCTTATAATAATATTATACATGTAGTATTTTACGACAGTATGTTTCAGCTTCTCTCATATCGTTGAGGGTCTAGCTAACATATTCAGCTTCTCTCATATCGTTGAGGGTCTAGCCGTAGTCGTTGAATATTCCATTTCTCATGCAGCTTCTCCAGGGTCGCTCGCAGAGTCTAGTAGCTTCTCTGGAATCGTCCAGGGTCTAGTTGCTTCTCTGTATCTTTGGAGTCTTGCTCGATCATGTAGCTAGCTACTCTGGGACACCTCAGAGTCCAGATTCTTTAAATTTTAAATATCCTATTAGTAAGTTTAATCGTTTTGGTATAGAGTGAGTAGCCCCTGATACGCCAAACTTGTAGCTTGTATGTATTATAACTGTAGTAATAAACAGGTTAAACTGTTCTTGCGTGTTTAGTTGTATATAAAATGATAGTTTGATATTTTAATATTAAACTATAGTTTATATACAATGAGTTTGCCTTGCTGCCTATGTTTTCTGTTTTCTGTAATGTAGGTCGTATGTATTTATGTAGTTGCCAATTAGCATGTATGTTAATGAGAGTAGAGGGATGCTGCTGATTGACCAATCAGCGTCTGCCTGAGGGAATGCCCTGTTAGGGATTTGGAGCCCCCACAGCATAGTTTTCTGAATCATTGAAGGAGATTGTTGTGCATTCCCACCCGCCATCCCCTTCAGCACCTGTAATTGTACTGTTTATTCATGTAATATATATATATAATCTGTACTTTATATATGATTGTAATACCATATACGTATGCTATAACATTACTTTGGTGCTTTGGTTTTGCTATACCCTTAAACTGTCATATGAATGTCATCTCAGTTGGTCTCCTGATTTTGTTTTAATTGTTTGGGCTACTCACTCTTAATTTTAAAACATATAGTTTAATTTTGGCATTTAATTCTTGGGGAATTCTACCCCCAATCTTATAATAATATTATACATGTAGTATTTTACGACAGTATGTTTCAGCTTCTCTCATATCGTTGAGGGTCTAGCTAACATATTCAGCTTCTCTCATATCGTTGAGGGTCTAGCCGTAGTCGTTGAATATTCCATTTCTCATGCAGCTTCTCCAGGGTCGCTCGCAGAGTCTAGTAGCTTCTCTGGAATCGTCCAGGGTCTAGTTGCTTCTCTGTATCTTTGGAGTCTTGCTCGATCATGTAGCTAGCTACTCTGGGACACCTCAGAGTCCAGATTCTTTAAATTTTAAATATCCTATTAGTAAGTTTAATCGTTTTGGTATAGAGTGAGTAGCCCCTGATACGCCAAACTTGTAGCTTGTATGTATTATAACTGTAGTAATAAACAGGTTAAACTGTTCTTGCGTGTTTAGTTGTATATAAAATGATAGTTTGATATTTTAATATTAAACTATAGTTTATATACAATGAGTTTGCCTTGCTGCCTATGTTTTCTGTTTTCTGTAATGTAGGTCGTATGTATTTATGTAGTTGCCAATTAGCATGTATGTTAATGAGAGTAGAGGGATGCTGCTGATTGACCAATCAGCGTCTGCCTGAGGGAATGCCCTGTTAGGGATTTGGAGCCCCCACAGCATAGTTTTCTGAATCATTGAAGGAGATTGTTGTGCATTCCCACCCGCCATCCCCTTCAGCACCTGTAATTGTACTGTTTATTCATGTAATATATATATATAATCTGTACTTTATATATGATTGTAATACCATATACGTATGCTATAACATTACTTTGGTGCTTTGGTTTTGCTATACCCTTAAACTGTCATATGAATGTCATCTCAGTTGGTCTCCTGATTTTGTTTTAATTGTTTGGGCTACTCACTCTTAATTTTAAAACATATAGTTTAATTTTGGCATTTAATTCTTGGGGAATTCTACCCCCAATCTTATAATAATATTATACATGTAGTATTTTACGACAGTATGTTTCAGCTTCTCTCATATCGTTGAGGGTCTAGCTAACATATTCAGCTTCTCTCATATCGTTGAGGGTCTAGCCGTAGTNACAGGTAGTGTTCACCATGTCGTGTGTGAATTTAATTGTTTGGATGTTGATTTACTTCACAGGTAGTGTTCACCATGTCGTGTGTGAATTTAATTGTTTGGATGTTGATTTACTTCACAGGAAGTGTTCACCATTTCTTGTGTGAGTTTAATTGTTTCGATGTTGATTTACTTCACAGGTTGTGTTTACCATGTCGTGTGTGAATTTAATTGTTTGGATGTTGATTTAATTACTTCACAGGTAGTGTTCACCATGTCGTGTGTGAATTTAATTGTTTGGATGTTGATTTACTTCACAGGTAGTGTTCACTATGTCGTGTGTGAGTTTAATTGTTTGGATGTTGATTTACTTCACAGGTAGTGTTCACAGCACTGTTTGTGTTTGAGGCTATGTTCAAGATCTGGTGTCTGAGCCTACAGGGATACCTGAAGCGATCACTCCACAAGTTTGAGTTATTGCTGGCCATTGGTACAATGCTACATATCTTCCCCAGTCTCTACCGATCACAGTTTACATACTTCCAGGTGGGTTGCATGTTTGTTAGGCAGGGCTAGACACTAACTTTTTTTCTTGCTAGTTCACAGGACTAGTTTTATTTAGTTGAATAGATTATTTACTAGTCCAAGATTTCCTGATAAGGAAACATTGTGATCTTCTGCACGAAACACCAAAAGCAACCGACTGTAGGAGACTTAAAATAACTACTACCATAATAATATGGTGAAGTTTTAGGAAAACTTTGACAATTATCATGCAATATATCTTATTTTAAGCAGTTTTCTAAATTTCAAAAAGGAATATTCTTATTTCATAACCATATTTTATAAAAAAAAAAACAACAGTTGAGTAGGTGACTTACTAGTCCTTGCTGAAATCTACTAGTGCAGGACTAGTGTTAATGTCGACCCCTGTTGTTAGGGCTCCACTTCAGGTGCCTTGTATCAATCACAATGTCTGTCTGTCTGTCCACACTTCTTTTCTGGAGAATATTATTACACGGATGTCAAAAGACTTACCTTTTCTGAAATTTGACATGGTGATACTGTGTAATACTGATTTTAAAAAAATCTTAGGTCAAGGTCTCTGTAACTATAAGTAGACGACGGATACAGTCCTTGTCTTGGAATCGAGAAGACTAATATTTTTGAAATTGTGATATTTATACAAAGGTATGAGAGGACTTAGGATTAGTTCGCATTTTAGAAAGAAACTAACGGTCAAGCTCACTGTTCCTGTTATTATTAATAGAAAAATGTCTGAAAATAACAAATTACACAAAAGTTTGCTCTTTCAACAGATGAAAAAATCCTGTTAATATTTAAAATTTCTATTGAATACATTTTCATACTAGTAGTGACAAAAAATTGGCTAAAATGTGTACTTATTGTATGTTGTACATGTAAATCCAGAATGATAAATTCATTTGCACAATCAACCGTCAAAGCAAGGTCATTGTCCAATGCTATCATGAGGTCATAGTTTAAGTTGTTTAACAATACAATACAATACAATAGAGTGGTGTGAATATTTGTGTATTTTGTGTGGAAACAAAGCAAAAGTTAAAAATATTTTGGTCTAAAAATTAAAATGAATTTCGAGTTTTTAACTCATTCACCCCGGAAATTTTATAATGAACTATTCCAACACTTGAATTGGGAGAATTCAAATGTGTCTTCAGGGGTGAATGAGTTGATTTCATATTGCTGAAATTTGTTATAATTTTTTCATCTTTGCATCTCAATATAGCAACTTTGAATTCAATTTGTAGGTGTTACGAGTTGTCCGTCTGATTAAAGCCTCGCCAATGCTTGAGGACTTCTGTTTTAAGGTAAGTTAACAGCATCGGTGTCACTTTAATGACATCGCTATTAAGTTTATATACTGTACTTTATTCAGCCTTTAAATGTGCCAGTACATATTTTAGCGGTGATATTATTCTAATAGCTCTTTTCATTCTGTAAATATCGAGTTTAATTGAGCACTTATTACAGTTTCTGTATATTGTTTTCCATACTACACATGTTGTTGATGCATCAATTCATCAGTGTGTTTATCTGTTAAAGTTTGACGATGTGCACTAACATAAGAGCATTTTCACTAAGCCCCACCCCCACCCACACACTCACCCCCACCCCCCAAACACAAATGTATGTTAAAGGTACTTCGACCAACCTAGTTTTTACCTCTGGCCAGAACAACGCACTCAAACATCCCATAAAAACTTGCCGAAAATTCAATCGGTGTTAAATAAATATCTCTCAATTTCATAGGCAGGCATCAAAACCAAATTTAAATCTGCTATTGAAATCTAAAAACCTAAAAATATCAATACAAATCAATACAATTGGTCTGAATAACAAAATTTGGTGATTTTTGTAATTACTTTAATAAGCCCGCCCCCCTGCCGGCCCCCCCCCCCCTTACCTCCTCAAAAGATAAATAAAGAAAAAATTCAAATAAATCCAGACGACCTACCCTGTTTTTTCAGTCATGTAGCCTGAAACATACATTTTGTTGGCATTAACCCTTTAATCCCTATGTTACTTTAGTAGACTCTGCCATGCATTAATAGGGAAGAGTCCATTTGAAGTACATGAAACTTTCAATGTGCACATAGGTTGTAAGTGAATTCGGAGATCTATGTAATTATTTATCCTCAGTTTGAATATGTCTTTAAAATTTCTCATCATAAGAGTCTATTGAGATATATAGCTGGGTTTTTGTATCAGATATTTGGACCTGGTAAGAAGCTAGGAAGCCTCATCCTCTTCACCATGTGTCTCCTCATCATTGCCTCCAGCATCAGTCTCCAGCTCTTCTGTTCAATCAAAGATTTCAAGAACTTTGAGACATTTGTTCAGGTTTGTATTATTCTAGCTGTAACTAGACTTGATTAAGTGCAAATTTAGTTACTTTTGTAATTGTTCAATTGTAATTGGTTGATTGAGATGTCTTTTATTGTTAAGTGATTTTTCTATATTTCTACTGAGCCTTTTCAATATTTGTGTCGCCTGCAACGCGAGGCGTCATATAGGTATAACTTCCTCTACATCGTCCCAAACAAGGTTTCCATGCGATAACTTGAATGCCATTTTGTTGATTAAAATAAAATTTGGTACACATATTGCATACCAATATAGCTCAGACTAGTTAGCGATTCAGAAGTTTACATGCATTTTTGTTGGAGTTATGCCCCTTTTATAGCCAAATAAGGGCATTGTGTAGTAAATGCAAGAACTTTTTTTCTTTTAATCAATTTCTTTCAAATTTTGTGCTGTAATGCTAGAAGCAATAATATTCAACTTATATTACATGTTTATCTGTCAAGTTTCAACTTTCCACGTTTTGGCATATTACACTTGACATAGCAACGCTGTTCATCGTTTTTGTCGTACTTTTTGCTTGTTTGCGCGATAACTCAGGCCGAAACGCTTTTCTCGCTAAAAGCGCTGAGCAGGCGACACATCCACTCCTGCGGAGTTCTTGTTATTAATTACACAACATTCAGAAGACTCTAACATTCTGCATTCAGTAAAAATGAGACAAATTAGCCAAAATTTTACAATTTGTTTTTTTAAGTAACAAAACCGTCTTTATGCAAACATAATCATATATCACTGTTATTTGATGATTAATGTTTATCCTGATTTATTTTCAAAGAAATCATTTCTATTCAAAAGACTAGGGCCTGTTTTATTTATCATAATCCAAACGGTTGAACTGGTTAGACCAGAGATGTTCGTTTATGAAATAAGGTCGGACCTAGTGTTCTAACTCGGCTTTCATGCGAGCCTTGTCAAGGTTTTTAAGGCTTGCATAAACATTTGCAGGTCTGCCAAGTTTTTTTTACCTGGAAATGTAACTTTTCAAATCAGATAAACCAACTGTTCCACATAAAGAAACAGGCCCTAGCTTATTGGAGAATATTCTTGTGATAGACAGGTAAACAAATATGATAAACTCACTGACTTTTATTGTTTGGAAAGCAAGGACGTTATGTTATAGTTTGATGTCAGGTATATGGTCATGTATATTTGTTTTGAAGGTCAGATGTTAGTGTTGAATATTAGAGACCTACATTAATATTGAACATAAGAACTCTAAGTGTAACTGAGATAATTGTTTTTTTAATGCCTCTGTAAAGTGTGCAACCTGTGACAGAACAAGGCCTCGGCTAAGGTTCAAACCTTGTGCTGCTAGTTTTTTATCCAGATTTTCTTACTTTTAACATCATGCTTGTTCTGTTGTTCTTGAGAATGTATTTCAGATTCAGAAAATGGCACAAATGTGCTGTATCGATTTGTTTACCCCAGTACATAAAACGACAAGGTTTCATTGAATAAAAAGTAATACAAACAAAAAGAAAAAAACCTGAATACCCAGATAACAGGGGACTCAACACATGGATTGACCTGTAGGTTTAACTTTCAATTCATGATACACATCAATTTCCTATGACAATATCAGGTGTAATTAGACTTTTAGTGGGTACACCACCTATTTATTCAATATCATCATAAACATTGACTTAATTTCTTAAAGATCTTCACTTAATAGTTTATTCCAAGAGCATTCTTCATATTTTTCTCCTTGCTTCATTTCTCATATGATTTGTTGTTTATTATCTAGATGACATTACAGATTTTTATCATCATAATAATTTATCATTGACGCAGCTATATCAGCTATACCATTGACGCAGCTGTGCAATTGAAATTGAAGGACGTACTTACGTCGAAAAAATTATAATAAAGGCCTTAGAGTGGTTTTTTTTCTAATATTTATGGAGAGACAATGAAATATAAGTTACGAAATAGGCTTTAGAGTTTGTTTTTTCTTATATTTATGGAGAGACAATGAAATATAAGTTACGACATTGCCCTGTTAATGCCTCTTTTGTTTACTCCTGCAATGCAGTCCCTTATGTCCATGTTTCAAATCCTGACCCAGGAGGGCTGGATTGATGTTCTCGATGGCGTGTTGGCACACACCAGCAGTGGCTTTTTACAGCTGTTTATTGCTTCTTATATCTGTCTGTACCATCTCTTTGTATCGTTGGTGAGTACTCCTCCATTGGACTACAGAATGTTTTGTTTGCAGATCCTGGGACAAGGGACACAACTCTTGCATTCCTATATATATTATAATAATTCATGCTATTTTATTTATTACTAACTTCTTCTAATTAAAAACTAATATCAATTCTGGTGAAGTCATTCTAACAATTTATATATTCATATGTAAACTTACCTTGCATTTTTCATATCAATATTAACTTGTTTGCATTGTTGATAGAATTGATGAGTACAATGAAACCTGTCTGTCCACACCCTATTCCTGTAAAGTTTACCTGTCTAGAAACACCCTATACCTGTACGGTTTACCTGTCTACAAACACCCTATACCTGTAAAGTTTACCTGTCTAAAAACACCATGTTCCTGTAAAGTTTACCTCTAGAAACACCATTACCTATAAAATGTATCTGTCTAGAAACACCATATACCTGTAAAGTTTACCTGTCTAGAAACACCATATACCTGTAAAGTTTACCTGTCTAGAAACACCATATACCTGTAAAGTTTAACTGTCTAGAAACACCATATACCTGTAAAGTTTTCCTGTCTAGAAACACCCTTTACCTGTAAGGTTTACCTGTCTAGAAACACCCTATACCTGTAAAGTTTACCTGTTTAGAAACATCATATACCTGTAAGGTTTACCTGTCTAGAAATACCTGTGAAGAAAGAAGAGATTCCTGTTAATATCACCTGTCTATAAAGATCACCTGTGTATTAAGCCTGGTGTCACTTTCCCATTTTGATGGTCAATATAGACAGGTTTCACTGTACTTTCTATCAATAATTGCAGACACTGGCATGGCTTTCTTTTTACATAGAGCCTTTTATACAATATCACATAATTTCCATCTTACTTGAAATGAATCTTTAAGAAATTTTTTCTTAGAAATCTTTGACAAATTTCTTTGGTCTCATATGTAATGATTTTTTTTAAAATATCTTTTATCACATGATCAAGAATTTTCTAATATCTGAAATGCCTTCACCTTGCCTGTGTACATGTATCTATTGTCCCCGTGGTGGAAAATGTGTTCCTGAAGACTGTGATGTATATATTATCAGTATCATTGTTTAGGTTATATTACATGGATTCAACTTTACACACAAATAGAAAAAAAAGCATAACATGAGTATAATCACTGAATAACATGGTAATTGTCTGATAAATTATTATATGAGTACAAATGTATACAACATTCCTTGTAATAGCATACTGATTAAAAACATTGAGACTACAAAAAGCCTGTTCAATCAACTCATTCACCCCTGAAGACACATTTGAACTCTTCCAATTCAAAGGTTGGAAAAGTTCATTATACTTTTTTAAGGGTGAATGAGTTAAAACTGCAATTAAACCTGAAAATTCAAGTACAGATGTCACCTTGTGAATACTGGGAATCTTTCAATGCAAAAAATATCATTTATTGTAATGTATATATGATGTGCTAGCATCTAACTCAGTATTATGACTAACATCAGAAAGTATTTAATACTCTGATTCTTAATAACCCTAGCTTGATTGTTTTTTTCCCTAATCACAAGTGGTACTTTTAAGTACAGATTAGAGAACGGGTTGGAATGGAATGTTGGAAATAAAAACTCTGCCACTCTGAACTCAAAACAAAGTTATCTATCTCGCTCTTGAACTCAAAACAAAACTATCTGTCTCTTTCTTTGTTCCACCTAGCTATCGGTCAATTGTAAATCACTTGAATTTAGTAAAACACTTCTTTTTACAGTCATACTTCAAACAATATTTTTCATGATTCCTTTTTGAATTCACTGAAAAAATAATAAAAGAAGTATTTCTGCTTTATTGAAATGAATTCGAAAAAATGTGCTGTTGATATATAACAATATGTATGCTTACTCATGTAGAATGGTGATAAAGTTGACAGTGACGCCATTACTGTTTTGTCTGATTGCTCGTGTGTAGGCATGCATGGGACAACGTTACACACACGAGTTAAAGCTCTGTGTAAGGGAAGAGTTATATACTGAGTATTCAAAATTGATGAGAAAACATATTCTGCAAAATAAATCTGTTGAGATAAACTGAAATTCTGATTGTCAATTGTCAAATTGTTACCTGTTTTAAAGCTGTTAAGATTTACCAGTACAGTTAGAAAAGCATTTGAAGTCACACCCACACCCTACACTATCTATAAATGTTAAAGCAGGGTTATATTTAGGTACCGAGGCACAGTACAGTCAAATTGTATTTATTAGTTCTTTGACAATTACAAAGAATACCTCTACATTTTCACCAGTGAAACATTAAGTTTTACAGGAAAAAAACCCGCAATATTTATATTGAATATGTATTGTTTTCTTTTGAAACACCCAAACACATCAAGGGGTTTGTTGATCAGCTATACAAATGTTTTGAAAAATAACAAATGTAGTTCACCAAGCTGTTGAAAAAATTAAATCATGAAAATAAATCTATTGCTAATATCCATTCTGCTTAAGGTATATAAATAGCATGAGGTATTTTAACATGTTTCTTTTATTATAGATTGTGTTTTAATGTTTAGGAAAGCACGAGGCGTCACTTTAGCTACCCCTGGCATTACAACAAAGGAATGACTACTAATAATACTTACCTCCACAGCTCTAATCCTGTGTACATCAACTTTCCAGCTGTCGCTATGGTTACCTTGATATGTTGCTATGACTACCTTAAGTAACCTGTGACATGGTTGTCAATAGTAACATTTGTAGTTAGCTTTGTAAACTGTTACTATGGTTACTATGGTAACCGGTTGCTATGGCTGTCCTAGGTTACTTGCCGTATATACCTTAGTAACCTGTTACTATGGCTGTAATGGCTATGGTTACCCGTGGTAACTGGTGTCATGCTTTGTTGATATCTCCGTTTATAACCACATTAATTTCTATATTCTCCTTTTTCCTTCTTCTCATGCAGGCTTTCATGTCAATGTTTCAAATTCTTGCTAATAAGGGCTGGATAGAAGTGATGGAAATCACCATGTGGGAAACAGGTGAAAGCGTAGCGCCCTTGGTAGCCATTTATTTCATATTCTACCACCTTTTTGTTACACTGGTGAGTAAATCTACACAGAATAGTAAAAATGTATAGTGTTTTGTGTTGTTCATAAGAGAATCTGAAGTAAATCATTCAATTGTCCAATTATTCTGGACTATGATTAGAAGTTTGTGACCGTTTAGAGATTAGAAGGCTGCAGTAGAAAACTGCCACGCCCATTTCATGTGTCAAGGTTGGTTCACTGCTTCTCGGGCTTCCTCTCGTTTGTGTAACATGACGTGTTATCAGAGGCTAGTTATAAACAGACGTATTTAATTTGGTGTCACCCTCAAACTGGCTACACTATTTATTTATTTTTTATTCTGAGAGTGTATTATTTCAAAAAATTATCGATACTTCTATCTAGAATAAACAAAAAATGCATTATGATATTTCTTAGATATTTTTCTTTATGATAATAACCTTGGTTTTTTATGGCATACTGCTGTAAGCAACATCTACCAATCAATGTTTGCCTTCTTGTCTCTATATTTTATTCTTGTTCAGTGAAAGTATAATATCAAGACGGCTCTATTAATCATACCTATTAAATAAAAGTTAAATATTTCAATTTAAAAATAAATCTTGTTTTGTTTGCAATTAGATAAATATCTGATATCTGTTAATTTTTGTCATTTTTGTTGGTTCAACTTATCAGGTTTTATAGCTCATGTGCTTTATTAACTAGTCTCTGATTTTTGTAATGCAATGATGAGAAGGAAAAGGACAATGAAAAGGCACTAATCAGAGGAGAATTAGGTGGTATGATGCCAGTGATGTTGTGTATGTGTCTAGTCCGGGTACAGCATGGGGTACCAAAGGAAATATTATCAGGTTGTGGCAGAAACTTTGTGGGAAATGAAATGCAGGTGTGTTTGTTTTTTTGCTGGAACTGAAGTCCAAGTTACATCCTTAACTAAAAAACCAGGGATTATAGCATGAACTTAAGTGAAGGAAATAAGCAGAAATAGAAATTTATCGGGGTACAACAGGAAACTTATATTATAGCGGGAACTTTTTCAGAGACTATAGCAGCAACCTAAGTTGAGGATTTTAGCAGCAACTTAAGTCAAGGATTATAGCAGCAACTGAAGCCAGGGATTATAACAGTATCCAAAGTCAGGGATTATAGCGGCAACTAAAGTCACGGACTAAAGCAGCAACTCAAGTCGGGGATTATAGCAGTAACTAAAGTCTGGGATTATAGCAAAAACTAAAGTCTGGTATTATAGTAGCAACTAAGGTCCGGGATTATGGCAACAACTAAAGTCAGGGATTATAGCAACAACTGAAGTCGGGGATTATGGCAACAACTTAAGTTGGGGATAATAGCAGCAGCTAAAGTCTGGTATTATAGCAGCAACTTAAGTAAGGGATTATAGCAGTAACTAAAGTCTGGGATTATAGCAAAAACTAAAGTCTGGTATTATAGTAGCAACTAAGGTCCGGGATTATGGCAACAACTAAAGTCAGGGATTATAGCAACAGCTTAAGTAAGGGATTATAGCAGCATCTAAAGTAAGGAATTATAGCAGCAGCTAAAGTAAGGGATTATAGCAGCAACTAAAGTCAGGAATTATAGCAGCAACTTAAGTTGGGGATAATAGCAGCAGCTAAAGTTAGGAATTATAGCAGCAACTAAAGTCATGGAATATAGAAGTAACTAAAGTCAGGGATAATAGCAGCATTTAAAGTTAGGGATTAAAACAGCAACTTAAGTCAGGGATTATAGCAGTAACTTAAGTCAGGGATTATAGCAGCAGCTAAAGTCAGGGATTATAGCAGCAACTAAAGTCTAGGATTATAGCAGCAACTACAGTCAGGGATTATGGCAACAACTTAAGTCAGGTAGCAACTAAAGTCAGGGATTATAGCAGCAACTAAAGTCTGGGATTATAGCAGTAACTAAAGTCAGGGATTATAGCAGCAACTTAAGTCAAGAAGCAACTAAAGTCAGGGATTATAGTAGCAAATAAAGTTAGGGATTATAGCAGAAGCTAAAGTCGGGGATTATAGCAGTAACTGAAGTCGGGGATTATAGCAGTAACTGAAGTCGGGGATTGCTACAAGAGGGAAAGTATGGTACAACAAGAACTTTATTGGTTATGAAACAAGTGTAGGCAAATTAAGTTTCCTTAAAAATATGAAAGCAATGATGATAATACAAATGGTATGATAAACCTTAAAACTATGCTAACGTTTTGTTGTAGGGTTACAGAAATACAAATCTTTAAAAAATGGACCCATTATGACAAGAATAGAACTGACTTATATGTAATGATAGCTGTATTATGTAGACCTAAGAAGCAGAAGATTTTTTTTACAAGTTGTATATAACAAACAGCAAATTATTATCAGAAAGAGAAACAATCCAGTTTTGTAATCATAGGTTTTCGGTATTCTTGCAATTTTGTTTTGAAAACGTACTGGTTAAAATAATATGTAAAAAAAAAGAAAAACATTATTTCATATTAATGCAAGAATGTTCAATTTTATTTGGTGAATCTATTAACATTTTGTGTTACTAAGTTTCTGCATTTGATAAAATCTTCTGGGATTAAAAACAAACATGACTTTTTCCGTCAAGTAAAAATATGTGTTATTCTCCACACATGCAAATAAAAAGTTGATTTCTTTAAATCTTTTTAAGTCAATTTGAATACCAGTTTTTTGTTGCGATGGGTTTAAACGATGTGTATATTTATAGTAGCATTGCTTTTTTCGTTTGATGTTTGTTTTGTTATGCTTGGAAATACATTATAGAGACTCTAGTTAGTAGAATTTACTTTTTTATTTGCAACAATTCTCCTTTGATTTGATGGGCTTGAAATGCTTCTAGTTTTTTTTCTGTAAGAGGATTTTGTGATGTTTAGGAGGGGAAGTTTGAGAAGCCTAATCAACAGACAGTGCAATAGGCGAAAGTGGTGTACTTGTGTAGGAGCTCAGTGTGTTCTCTCCCAGGATCATAGTACACCAGACCGCAACAAACTGGCCGTTACCGAAAAACGGGCCATTTAGACAGACAAATATGGCATTTTGTGTAATTGAACGTAATTTTGAGAAAAATGTAAACTAAATTATAATAAAATTAATATATTCATATGTATATAAAGTTATAAGTTTTATGAACAATGTAACACATAATTTCAAGAAAATTCCCAAATTAAATTACAAACTAAAGGAAGATCTCAAGTCGTATATACCATCTTAAATTCTTTTGAAGAAAAAAAATTGATTCACAGACATTTGTTTAGAGCTTGTTTTCAGGTGGTTTGATTTAACCCTTTCACCACTGTGGACCTCAATGGACTCATCCAGATAAGTTGATGGTAGAGTCTACCAAGGTTAGTTACCTAGGGGTGAAAGGGTTAAATTACTAATATTTGAAGATAAAAATATGATAATTTCCATTATTTTGTGAGGAAAGTTTTAAATTTGAAAGAAGTTGAATCATAGTAAGATCTTAGAGTTATTGTCTACATACATATATGATGTGTAACAGGAAATTGAGCACATGTAGTATTAGTATTAAATTTCTGATGATTTGAACAGACATCTCAAGTTTTCTTCTTGCCTCAGTTTCAGTGTATCATGAATTCTTAGTTTGGGTTTTTGTAAATTTGTAAGTATAAAAATATATTTGCTGTTACTAATTCATTTTAATTAGAAACAGCACTTCACTGTTTCCCATTCTGATACCATTTGATTTTACGAGAGAAAAAAAACACCTCCCTTACTTTCCCTGTTTTCAGAGAACACATTTGCTTTTGAATGAAATGTTTCAAAACACTTTTATTCAAGTTTGTAATGGTGTATTTTATAATAAAGCACCATAGGTATTGAAATACAACCATATATATTAAATATTATTTCTACTTTCACTTTCGTTCGTGACAGAGGTAGAAGAATTTAGTCTACAATACTTGTACATCTGTGTTGGGAGTTCATTTGGAGGTGGAAAAGAGAGGTTAAAAAATACTTTGAAATTTATGTTTCATTTGAAAATATTTATTGTATCTTAAATAAAATTGAAGGAGTGCATTAGTTTTGTGAAATTGAGTTCAAAAATTCATTGGGGGAATGGGTGTTTTTCTTTTTTGGAAAGTTGATATTTTCAAGAAAATTACTTAAATATTTTATCAATACTATAGGTTTTAATGTTAATTTTATTCAAGGAAAATAAAGTTTGATGAGTAAGATTTAACAACACTGAGCAAGGATTGATAGCACACATGATACAATTTTTGATACTTTACACTTTTCATTCTTTCTTCTATTCACGTTAATCTTGCGTATGATCACAGTTGTTATATAATACAACATTTAGACTGTTTCTGGTATATGAATGTAAGACCCTCACAGAATAGATCGGCTATTTGATCACTGATAAGTTTGTATGTAACCCCAAAGCTCGATGACCTTGACCTTCAGCATTATTGCATATTTCTTGATGGGATACTACAACTGATGGTGACTGCTTGTTCCCTCGGCAATAACTGAAATAAACACATGTATATAAACTTACGATGCATGAAATCCAGCTGTCTATATGATATCTACCCATATATCCTTAAACTACAAATAAGATTGGTTGTGTGTTACCTGGGATGAGCTACTAACTCTGCATGAGTAATACAATGTGTCCATATTTGACCTGTCTAACATTTGTATTGATGTCATGGAAAACAGTTTCACATTTCATGTTTTTTATACAAAAAAGTTCATAGATAATTGTAATGTTTAAAATTGATTTGTAAATATATATCTAATTATCTACTAAAGGACTTTTGTTTACAATGTAGTAATAATAATTCGTGAATTTTCATTTTGATTTATTTCTGGATGTTCGTCTATCATTACAGGTTGTATCAATATGATATTAATTATTCATATATTTAAATCAGATGTATATCATTCAATTAAAAAAGCCAAAAATCAATCTTTTGATAAGAATTGTTTGAAAGAATTTTAAAAAGAATTTTTGATTTGTTACTCAACATTAATATTATAAGAATGATAAATTTGAAAAAAAACAAGTTTATTGTAATGTATTTTACAAGAATGAACGTATTTTTACTGCTATGTAAGACCTGCCTATACTTTGGTTTGAAGATCGTGATAAGCTCCTTCGTAGCGGTGATCCTTGATAATCTGGAGTTGGATGAGGACATCAAAAAACTCAAACAGGTAAGGTACTGTATGCTGAGGGTAAGTTCAAAGTTCATGGGTCAAGGTTGTTGGATACTGTTTGAGGTCAGAGGTTAACGGACCAGACTTTTTGTTATGGAATCTCAAAACTATAAAATCTGTTGAAAAAACAACACAATATATTCAAGTACATGTGTGAGTGTTAACTTTCATGTGAAACATAGTGTATTTCTCGACAAGAGAAATTTATTGAGTGACCTATATCTTATCAAAGAGTTAAAAGATTTTTTTTGTTACAAACAAATTTAGCTTACCTGGCCATCTTATTTGATGCAGCTACTCATTATGGTCCAAAAATACCACTGTCTGGACATACAGTTCAACGTGATTAAATACTGCTGACATTTGTCCAGAGATAAGAAAAACTGGACATTTAGAATTGGTGGTGAGAAAGCAAGATGTTTAAGTAAAGGAGTTGCATTAAGGCGTGATGTTAACAGTTATGTATATCAAGGTTTTATCATGATTCAATGTTCCCAGAGGAAGGCCCGAGAACAGAGCGCTGAGATTCAGGAGACTATGCCACTCAGACTGAGGATATTTGCTAAGTTTCCGTGAGTATTGTTCCACAGATTTTGTGATCAAACCACAATTTTTATTAGCTCACCTGGCACGAAGTGCCAAGTGAGCTTATGCCGTGGCGCGGCGTCCGTCGGCCGGCCGGCCGGCCGTCCTCGTCCGTCAACTTTTCCTTTAAACAACTTCTTCTGAAGAACGGACAGGCCTAGAGTCATGATATTTGGCTGAAAGCTTCGTTGGTAGGAGCCCTACAAAGTTTGAGAACGAAAATGACCTTGACCTGTTTTCAAGGTCACAGGGGTCAAATATGTCAAAAACTTCAAACGACTTCTTCTAAAGAACTAAAAGGTATAGAATCTTCATATTTGGCTGATGGCTTCCTGGGATAGAGCCCAACAAAGTTTGAGAATGAAAATGACCTTGACCTACTTTCAAGGTCACAGGGGTCAAATGTGTCAAACACTTCAAACGACTTCTTCTGAAGAACTGAAAGGTATAGAATCTTTATATTTGGCTGGTGGCTTCCTGGGATAGAGACCAACAAAGTTTGAGAATGAAAATTAGTTTGACCTACTTTCAAGGTCACAGGGGTCAAATATGTCAAAAACTTCAAACGACTTCTTCTGAAGAATTAAAAGGTATAGAATCTTCATATTTGGCTGATGGCTTCCTTGGATGGAGCCCAACAAAGTTTGAGAATGAAAATTACCTTGACCTTCTTTCAAGGTCACAGGGGTCAAATGTGTCAAACACTTCAAACGACTTCTTCTGAAGAACTGAAAGGTATATAATCTTTATATTTGGCTGGTGGCTTCCTGGGATAGAGCCCAACAAAGTTTGAGAATGAAAACTAGTTTGACCTACTTTCAAGGTCACAGGGGTCATATATGTCAAAAGCTTCAAATGACTTCTTCTGAAGAACTGAAAGGTATAGAATCTTTATTTTTGATTGATGGCTTCCTTGGATAGAGCCCGACAAAGTTTGAGAATGAAAATGACCTTGACCTTCTTTCAAGGTCACAGGAGTCAAATGTGTCAGACACTTCAAACGACTTCTTCTGAAGAACTGAAAGGTATATAATCTCTATATTTGGCTTGTAGCTTCCTAGGAAAGAGCCGAACAAAGTTTGAGAATGAAAATGACCTTGACCTTCTTTTAAGGTCACATGAGGCAGATATGTCAAACACTTTAAACGACTTCTTCTGAAGAACTGGTAGTTATAAAATCTTAATATTTGGCAGGTGGCTTCCTGGGAAAGAGCCAAACAAAGTTTGCGAATGAAAATGACCTTGACCTACTTTCAAGGTCACAGCGTTCAAATATGTCAAACAGTTCAAACAGCTTCTTCTGAAGAATTAAAAGGCATAAAATTATAATATTTGGCTGGTGACTTCCCGGGATAGAGCTCACCAAAGTTTGCAAATGAAAATGACCTCAACCTACTTTAGAGGTCACAGAGGTCAACAACATTTTAATGGATTTGTTCTTGAGAACTAAAAGGAATGGATTCATAAGATTTGGCTGGTAGCTTTTTGGAATAGAGCTAACCAATTTGAGAAGGAAAATGACATTGACCTACTTACAAGATCACAGGGAAAAGTATGTCAAGCAACTTCTGAAGAAGAATCAAAAAGCATAGAATCTTATAATAATATTTTGCTGGTAGTTTCAACAGATGGAGCCAACAAAGTTTGCGAGGGAAATAGTTTTAGTGCAATATAATATTTAATGAGAATATTTTGCTATGACTGCTTAAATATTCAGGTGAGCGATACAGGCCCTCTTGGGCCTCTTGTCTGTTTTTATACAGTAAAACGTTTACAAACAAGCTTAAGCTGAAGTTTTACTGTTTCTGAAGTTATATATGTGTACTCTGGCATTATGAACATCAATCCCCATAATTATCAGGTACATATCCACTGCTTACTGCTTTGCAAAGCAGGGGCTATTACCCACAGTATGATTTTGCCCCATTTGTCTGTCTGTATGTGCTTGTGTGTTCTTGACAGATATTGATTTGACTTGACAAATATTGATTTGACTTGACAGATATTGATTTGACTTGACAGGTATTGATTTAACTTAACAGATATTTGGTTCAAATATGGGCATGATCAGTCAAAGTTTAAGCTGTGACTTGAAATAAACTTTAACCCTCAAACCCGTTGTTTTAACTCAAGCAGTTATTTCTTGACCTATTTAAATGAAACTTCATTGATATGGTTACATAAATTATGATTTCAGCATATTTTATAATTTAATTTTGGACCAGTTCAAAACTAGGCATATTTTGTCACTGGTCAAGGTCACTTAGTTCAAAGATAATTTCACAATTACGCTCCTTGTCATCATTCTAGCAGCCACATTTCTCGATAGATTTGGATGAAGCTGCACAGAATTGTTTACTTTCGGCATACCTTAGACTGACATGTTCAGGTATTGACTTGAGCAATCAAAGGTCAAGGTCACTGTTAAAAAAACTGGAACTTCATCATTACACCCTATATCATCGGTGGCATCAGCGGTATCATTAGTGGTATCATCAGTGGAATCATCAGTGGAATCATTAGTGGTATCATCATCGGTATCATTAGTGGTATCATAATCGGTATCATTAGTGGTATCATCATCGGTATAATTAGTGGTATCATCATCGGTATCATTAGTGGTATCATCATCGGTATCATTAGTGGCCATATTTCTTGACAGAATTTGATAAAACTTCACAGATATGTTAACCTTTAACATATCTTGAACAAGTACTTGATTCAAATGTTCAGGTCACTTACTAAAAACAAACATTTCCCTAAGCAGCGACATACAGTACTTGTGAGGCATGCTCATTTTTTGAAACAGAATTATGTATATGTTGTACAATCAAGGTTAACAGCTCATCGTATTTTGTCTCTTTTTCATTGGTAATTATATTTCATTGTTCTCATTGCCAGGAATCACCCTCAGATGGTTCACCTGACAAAGTTGACGGGAGATTTCAGTATCTCTGACATCCGTGAGAGCTTCATGCGACAATTCATGGGTCAGGAATTAAACCTAACTGTGGACATACAGGAACACCAGGAGGAGACAACTCCATTTATGAAATCAACACCGCTGAAACTGGTGAAACACTCGGTGCAGGGGACAAAGAGTGGAGGAGTGGTGGAGAAGAAAAATGGAATCGCCATGATCGTTAGGTACCTGGAGTTGTTTACAGTTTAATTTGATGAATTGAAAATCATTCACCTGGTATATTGACACCAAATCCAATTTGCTGAATAATTTAGCAATAGGATTCATGTTTTTATTTTAGAACTTAAATCTTAGCATATGTTTCCTTTGTATACCCCAATACCCTATAGTCCTAGAAACAGGTAATGAAATTAGTTGTGAGTTGATTCCTGAATTAACACAATATATGTACAACTAATTTCCAAATGTATTTTGGAGAAAGTATATTCCTAGACCGAATTCTGAGCATTGTCTTATCATAGGTTAAAACAGTCTGGTACTAAAATCAGCTTGACAACAGATGAATCTGAATACAAATATATCACTTAATCATTTAAATTTAAAATATTGCACTATTTAGGTCACCTGAGACAAAGTCTCAAGTGACCTATTGCGATCGCCTTTTGTCCGGCGGCGTCCGGCGTCCGTCCGTAAACAATTTACATTTTCGACTTTTTCTCCAAAACCCCTAAACCAATTTCAATGAAATTTTGCAGAAACCTTCCATGGCCAAGGGTCAACTAAAATTGTGAATTATATGGTCCCCAGCCCCCAGGGGCCTGAGGGGCGGGGCCAAAAAGGCTAAAATTGACTAAAATTTCAAAAATCTTCTTCTCAAGATCCATTTGTTTAATTNTGAATATTACATGTTGATAACTTGATTGGAATTATAACCCTAAGTTGACAGTTTGATACTTTGTAAATTTTGAGCCATCCCTACCCCCAAGGGCTGTAGGGTGGGGCCCAATGGAGTCTGTGTGCTAAAATAAAATTTCTTCATTTTCCTTGTTTAGAATCAGAGGTGCTAGTTTCAAATACTTTTCAGTCTTAAATCTGCATGCTAGATATTGAATAAGGTGGTTTTATTGTTTTTTGTCACTTTGAATAATATTTCTGTTCATGTTAAAAACAAAAATCAACTCTCTGTATAAATATATCAGGTGACCGTTAAGGCCCATTGGCCCCTTGTTAAATAAAAGAAACAGATTTGCAATGATGGAAAATGTCTTTGGTCACTAATTGAAATTTCTGTTACAGGGACTCGGCCCAGCAGAAGATGCAGGTTTGCGGATCAACCCAGCTGGTGGCATCTGGGCCAAAGTCCCTCCTGTCACAGCAGTACCAGCTCCGTATGGACAGGAGGTAACTCACATCATGGATCAATAGGGTTTTTTGGGGTACATTTACTTCTTGACTATTATAGAATTAACCCTTTCACCACTGTAGACCATAATGAACTCATCCAGATCAATGCAAGGAAAAGTCTACTAAAGTTGCATAGGGGTGAAAGGGTTAAAGCTTCTAGAGGAACCTAAAGAAAATGTTCCCTAAACTAGAAGAGATTGTTTGAATAAAAAAGGTACATTTACACAAAAGGTAAGAACAAAAAGGTACATTTACACAAAAGGTAAGAATAAAAAAAGTACATTTACACAAAAGGTACGAACAAAAATTTACATTTATACAAAAGGTAAGAACAAAAAGGTACATTTACACAAAAGGTACGAACAAAAAGGTACATTTACACTAAAGGTAAGAATAAAAAGAGTACATTTACACAAAAGGTACGAACAAAAAGATACATTTATACAAAAGGTACGAACAAAAAGGTACATCCAAGGGTCAACTAAAATTGTGAATTATACATTTACACAAAAGGTAAGAACAAAAAATTTACATTTATACAAAAGGTAAGAACAAAAAGGTACATTTACACAAAAGGTAAGAATAAAAAAGGTACATTTACACAAAAGGTAACAACAAAAAAGGTACATTTACACAAAAGGTAAGAACAAAAAGGTACATCTACACCCAAGGCAAGAATAAAAAAGGTACATTTACACAAAAGGTAACAACAAAAAAGGTACATTTACACAAAAGGTAAGGAGAGAAAATTTGCAAAACGGCTTCAGTTGGCAATTCACAATAGAATAAAATATTTTGATTTGTTATATTTTGGTGAAGATCCATGCCTCTGTACTTCAGTAGTACAGTAGCATACCTGTGTTTTGTTGTATAGTGTATGTTGTATTACTTACCCGGTAACTTAATTCTGTGAATGACCACACTAGATATTGGACGAGTATAGTCATGCACCATCTAATTAGTGGTATACGAGTGTATCGTTATAGACACCCAATTTTTCACTGGGATCATGCTGTGACACTCAATCTAATGAAATCATCCAATTGAGTTAACAACTTATGTGGTCTTTATGTCACGCACTAGTGAGATAATTTGATAAAATATGATATTAACATGTAATATTGTTTTCATATGAAAATAACAGATTATTTGAAATGTTACGGAAAAATTTTAATGTGATATTTCTCCTTGTTAAATCAATTGTTGGATACAGAAAATTTGATTTTGGCACTGGTTGTTATTCCCAAAATTACAATTATAGTCGATATTGAATGTAAAACAATAAAAAAAAACCAATAAAACTACACAAGTTATTAGTATAACTAACTAGGACTGTAGATCCTCAATAATTCCAGATATATACAGTTTCCACACTAAGCACCCCTGAGTGCTAACAACAAGAATTATTAATAGAAGTATATAGCTTGTTTCATAATTGTTGTAAAATAAATAGAGTTTATATTTATGAAAGAAGGGAGATAACTCATAAACAAATTGCCATGCTTAAATCATCCAGCACCATAAATATCAGACTACTGTGAGCAATGAACAAAGGCGGCTGCACTTTGGCAAAACAACTGCACTTATTAAGCACTTCACACAAATCTGATCATGCAATATTATATTAACAGGTTAAGGTTAATTTTAACAGTCTAATGTATTAATTTGCATTAATGGGGTTGAAAAAATGTGCGCATTGAGATTTAGTATCAGTAGAACAGGATTATTAACATTATAACCCGTCGAAACTAAATACTAAATAATTCATAAACCTTTCTAAATAAAAGCTTCACGTCTCACCATAGTTATTTAAGTTCTATATGGACTTTGAATCTGACACATATGTAAGATACACCTTCCTATTTTAATTGTACAAGCCATCAGTTAATCATAATGTATCAAGGTGCAGAATATCCTGTCTGGGTTGAAATATATATTTGCTGTTCTGCCTTCATACCCCATTGACAGTTAACGGTAAATTGGTCTGCAAGAATATGATCTTTTATTTTCAGACTTTATCCCAAAACGTGAATATGGTCCCTTTTTTGGATATGTGTTTGATATATTCTTGTGGCAACACTGTTCTAACTGTTTCTCCCCGTCCCGCCCTCTACTGACACAAACTTCACTTGTTGGGTTTGTTAAAAAAATAAAGAGCATGTATAAATATATCAACTCTAATTTTCATGAAAGTCACAATGAATAGAATTTAAAAATTGGAGGTGATTTTTTAAAAGGAATGTGATTACTTATGATGATCATTATGTGATATGTTCGTTATTTCCTTCAATATTGGAATATATTTAGAGTTAGGACAAATTTACAGCTAGTGAAAATGTTTGAGTAATATATTTATTATTTTAAACTTTTGATAGTTAAATTTTGGTAAAGAAGACAAATTTATCTGAAAAATTCGAATTCTGTTTCCATGAAACTCCAATTATATGTCCATAACATTTCTGGTGTTGTTCTTCATATACTTTGATAACCAATTTTTTAATGATAAAAGCTCATAATAATTGAAATAAAAATGGTAATTAGATATCGCATTATGTGTATATTTACATGCATGGAAGCTTGAACAAACATGATTTGCTTCTGAAATCTTGATGTAAGAAAATTGATTTTAGAAGTGTCAAATATATACATAAGATTTTATGAAATGGTCTGAATAAATCTGCATGCGTGAGGTCATAATTTCATCTCGGTAAGTTCTGTACAGTTCATACTAACTAGCATGAATAAATCTTATGAAATGCATTGTCTAACTATTAAAATTTACTAATTGTTTTTGTGGAAATATACCGACCCATTGATGATGACTTATAATGCACTGCATTTTACCAGTGATAAGCCCGTGTCCGGTGTTAAGCCCGCCCTGTTGTGTAACACATATGACAAATTAGTGTCTTACGTTTAACCAAACCCTTCATATGCATTTGATTTTTTGGGGTTATTTTCATAGTCTTGTAAAAACATGCTGATTATAGGAGAAATCTCTAAAGAATTGATCAGATTTAAATAAGAACTTGTACTGTTGTCTTCAGAGACGTAACAATACCTGTACATATATTATTTCTAGTACGTAATTTCCTACATTTCAATACCCCCAGTAATTGCTCTTACCCTACTTCACAGACAAAAATGTTCAACTTTACTTCCAGTTTTCGAATTTTGAAATCTTCTCTAATACCCTATACCCTACTTAACTAATCTATCTAAATTGTATTATGATAATTGGCTAATTACCTCTCCCCTAAACTTTCATGCTCTGAAGTGTTAACTGCCTACCTGCTACTTTCACTTTCTAAATAATGCATTGTGACAATTGCCTATCCCCTACTTTCTTTTTCCACTGTGTTATAATAATCATCCAGACTTAAATAAAAATCTACAGTAAGTGCACTGTCATATATGATCATTTGCATATGCTACAGTACCTTGTAGTGAGTAAAATCTTGCCAATGTTTTATTTAAACTTAGGCACTTCCAATATTTGTGACCATGATGTATAATATTAATTTTGTTAAAGACAAATCAAAATGTACAGTTATTTCATAATTTTTTGTTCAGTTATAATAGTATGAATATAAAAACAATACTATCGTGAAAAAGTATGATTTAGTGTATATTGTAAATTGTTGTACGATTTGAAAGTAGCGCATACAAACAAAATCAAAATACATAGTAAGAACACTTTGTAAGTTTATTCTTACAATTTGAAAGTAAAAAAGAAATTTAAATGATAAGAAAACTTAAGGTCCTGTGGATTACCTAACAATATTGCACGCTGCTGACAAATAGATACCATATTTGATAGGAGTATGAGAGGTTCCCGGCCAGGCAGTTTGAGAACAAGCACCAAAAGTCCCGGGGGAACTGCGAAAGAAAACGGCGATCTCCATTATGGTGTTTCCCACATCATAAACCGTCGTAATGATGAATTTGACATCAAAGTGTGGCAGCAGAAAAAGCAGCAAGCAGAAATCAAAAGGTTTGGTTTTAACTCTATAGAACATGTACAGCTATTACCATAACAGAATTTTCAGGGTTATGTTGTATTAAACATCAATTTGGTAGTTTATTGATAAGCCATCGTTATAATTAAGGGGACTGGAGATATTTATTACTAAACAAGTTTAAGCATATAATAAATGCCAACCTGTTTCAAATTCTACTTAGTTGTTTTCAGAATTCAATCAAATTCTATATACTTGTGTTCAGAAATCAATCAAATTCTATGTACTTGTGTTCAGATATCAATCAAATTCTTTGTACTTGTGTTCAGAAATCAATCAAATTCTTTGTACTTGTGTTCAGAAATCAATTAAATTCTACAGAAATCAGTGAAATTCTACTTACTTGTGTTCAGAAATCGATCAAACTCTATTTATTTGTTATTAGGAACCAACAGGAGGAGGACCTTCGAGAAAACCATCCATTTTTTGACACGCCTCTGTTTGCTGTTGGAAGAGAGTCTCGGTTCCGTAAATTCTGTCAAGTGGTGGTAAATGCAAAATACAACTACATGTTGAGAGATCCTGTTACTGGCAAAGATATCAACAGCAAGTACAAACGTATACAGTAAGTACAAACGTATACAGTAAGTACAAACGTATACAGCAAGTACAAACGTATACAGCAAGTACAAACGTATACCGTAAGTACTAGATATCAACAGCAAGTACAAACGTATACAGTATACAGTAAGTACAAACGTATACAGTAAGTACAAACGTATACAGTAAGTACTAGATATCAACAGCAAGTACAAACGTATACAGTAAGTAC